AAAAAAAAAGAAAAGCACAGATGTTCACTATGTGGCATAGAGAAGAAAAAAGCACACAAACAAATACATACTAAGAATGTATGTGTATAGACAAATAAATAAATAGAAAACACACAAATACATTTATATATATATATTGAAAGACAGATGAAGAGAGTTCATCTCTTCTTCTTTTATCTATTAATTATAATGAAAAAAATTTTGCGATGGTTGTTGAAATGTTGACATCATAGGATTATATAAATTTGGATCCATAGCAGTTGACATTTGTTGTTGTTGTTGAACATTTTCTGTTTCCCATAGATGACGTACAGCTTGAATTTTATCAGCTAAACCTTGTTGACTATTAACAGATTGACGATCATATAGATTTTCTTGTTGTTGTGTATGTACTGTCATTGAATTATTCGTGGTTTGTTGTTGTAAAGACAGCATCGATAAAAATCGAAGAACATTCTAAAATAGATCGTACAATAGACTAAGTAGACTTCAGATAAATTATTCAAAATGATATTTTCATGGTGATAAAATTTCTGATAGATTTGATCTCCTGTTACTATTTAATTAGTATATATTCCTATCAAATAAAATATGTTTTGCAGTCGATCATTGCAAAAAATAAAGAACTGTTAATTGATGTTTACATTCAAGACGATGTCATTTGACAAGATGACATACAAACATATCGTGTCCTAGACACTCAACATTCATATAAATATAATTAAGGATCATTCGTTGTTTACATACAAATTAATTTATATCAAGGTAAAGATCCTATGTAAGACTTAGAAAGTTTCAATCAAAAATATTAGACTCTACAAAGAAAACTTAATTAAAATAACAATAAGTCTTTATGATTTTATATCATATTCTACCTGTTCAAATTGTTGCGGTGGTGGCTGTTGTTGTTGCATGGGAAACATTTGTTGTCTAGCCCAATTTTGTTGTTGTTGTTGCATAATCATTGCAGCAGTCATATCATTCATTTGTTGTTGTTGAGGCATTGAATATGTTCTATTCATCAATGGATGTTGTTGAT